TTTTTGGTAAATCCAGCCCCCCAGTGATTATTAAAATCGTCTGCAGTCCGAAGAAGCAACCCTACTTTAAAAGGTGGCAATGTTGTGGATAAAACTGCAGCTCACCTCCTGAAATTATTAAAAAGACTCAATATCACTTAAAAGATCAGTAAGTTGGTCTATTGAACATCCTAAACAAAATATTGCTCTCCTAAAACATCCTCGTTTTCTTGTACTTCACACTTTATGATCCTTCACTATCAATTTCCTCTCCTAGTTTTTTCCTGAAAATAAAACTTTCCTTAGGATAAGGAAAAAAAAAAAAAAAAGAAGTCCTTTATACCTATCTGATCACAAAGACAACCATGCATGGCTACGAAGGAAGTGTTATGTCATCTTTTCTAAGAGGATAAGCGTACCTTCAGTCTAGTTTTTCAAAGTCAATTATTGCTTATCTAATACAGGAAAAAAAATTTAAAAACCTTTTTAATTAAGGGAACCACAGTAATTGTTTTCTCTTAATATCCATCACTAAAATGTAATGGGAAATGTTTACTGGCAGCACAATTGTAATCGTGGAATCAGAATGCCCAAGCAGGTTTTCTTTAAGGCCTCCTAAACTTTAAATATATATACAGGGCTTAGGTTCAGAAAATGCTGAATAGAGGCCAAAGCTCTAGCTATGACAATTATTCAATATGAATGCCTTCCTGCTGTTATTTCACTACCCCCTTCCCAATTTTCTTTATATATGAAGAACAAAATAAGCTGCTATATAATGTAAGTATTAGATTTCTTCAAACTCAGCTAAGTTGAGGTGGCCACTTAATAAAACCAGGAGACTAACTACTGGGCTAATGTTAAATACATATTAGGAGGTCCTACTTAGAAACAAGCAGAAATTTGTCTCACCACCAACACAATTTTTGTTAAAATCACTCTAGCGGTTATAACTGGAATTTACACATTAATAAGTACAAACTCATTAGGTTGACTAGGTAGTATTTTAAAAACTGGGACTGGCAAAGGAAAACTCATTGATTCTGCTATAAAGATCAATGCTCATAGCAACATTAAGGACTTTTCTGCAGTTAAACTCTCCAGAAGTTTGGACAGAAAAATCCTCAAAGATTGAGAATATGTTCTGAAAAAACTATCATGACAAACTTAAATCAGCTCTAACCCCATGTTTAAAAGATCCCTTGCAAAAACAGTAGACTCTGAATTTATTACTACTTTTAATTCTATTAACCAAACACAAAAATGACTGCAAGTCTTCATCCATGCTGTCATATTCAGCAATCGTATTGATAAAAATCAGAATATAACTTCCAAAACCCAATTCAAAGCAAAGATTTTTGAGAATTTGAAAACTAATTTTCTGTAATGAAGAATTCCTCCCCCACTTAAAGACTAAATGACAATACCTAATTCTGTTCTGTGTGACCCAAACCCCTCAAAAAAGCAAAACACTCAAAATTCCCCAACTTCAACCACCACCTCATCACTGTATTTTATGAGGAAATAAAACAATTATGTGTTAAAAAAAACAAAACAAAAACAAATATAACACACATGCTAAGGCTCAAAAGATATACACAGCTGTAGCCCTGTCCTCTTGGGTGAAATGTTTAAAAACTATGATATTAATATTTATCATTTAGGTTTGGGATTTTATTGGAGATAAAGAATGGAAAAGGCTGTACAAAGCAAATCCCATTTAACATTATCTCTCATCATCTGATTTCCTGTTCAATCTCGACAAAACCAGTACTTACCTTGCAACCACTTGTATTTTCAGTTTGAAAGTGCCACCTTCTAATTCCGGACCATATCCACAATATCAAATCATTCTTAATTAAAACCACCAAAAATATTCTTCAACTTGGTTTCAAGAGACTTGTTGCCTTACAAGACTCAAACTGAAACAAAACTATCTCCTCCCACCCAACATGAATCCTCTATTTAAGGAACTTGGTGCAATGGCTACAACCCTTTGGAAAGAAAAAGACTGAGATGTTTCAGTTTTGAAAATTACTAAAAATTCAAAGAGACAACCTAAGATTAAGCAGAAGAGAAACTGCAGAGTATGAAAGGGAGTTTGATGGGATGGTATACAGATGCTACTCATCTCTACAAAGACTAAAGGTAATATACCCCTACATTGTAAACCCATTACTTTCGCAAAAATAAGCAATACTCTACCAGATGTATGTATCATAATCTTGACAGCAAGACAAATTAAAAAGACTTGGTCCATACAATACTGCTTCCTTAATTTCTGGTTTCTCTAGGTCAAGACCCAATTGTAGAATAAAAAGAAGTTACAGTTAGGAGGGTAGAGCATCAAACCAGTGCCAAGGCCAAACCACCACACCCTAAACTGAACACAATTAGGCCATAGGATTTATCACCTCCCTCCCCATTACCATACAGCCCTACACTTGGCTACAGGACCCTATCACGTTATTCTCCCAAATCTTGACATAACAGATCTAAGACCACCTCTTCTTTCCAAAGGTGCTAGCCAACTTCTCTGCAAAAAAACATGAGAAATTTTGGGGAATTACTGGAAAAAACTTGAATTCGAACGAGTAATATCTTACTTTAACGTGGGTTTGGCCAGATCAGGAAGTCAGCTCTAACCAGAAACATTTAAATTTAAATCTACTAACCAAGACATGAAAAATCCCGATACTGTTGAAAGATACAGTCTGCAGTAACCAAAAGTATTCAACAAAAATTCAGGAATGCACCCTAACCGCACATTTAAAATAAAGGAACACAAAGAGCCACAAAGCAATATTCACCCAGTAAGTAAACACGTTAAAAACAACCAAACTGAAGGTGATTTATTGCTCCCCCTTCCTCTACTCCAGTCTGGTTAGGACTAAAAGGAGGAAAAAAAACATTTCTTAAGTGACAGCAGGGCCACGAGGTGGTGGTGGTGATGAGTGACCTCAGCTAATAAGATTTTATTACATTATCACTGGCTGATTAGATTAGGTGTTAGTGATTTACACTAATAATTTGTAATGTCTGAAAACTTAAGTGTTATGTGAGTCGCTAAATCGTGTCCGACTCTCTGCAATCCCATGGACTGTAGCCTACCAGACTCCTCTGTCCATGGTGGGTTGCCATTCCCTTCTTTAAGGGATCTTTCCAACCCAGGGATCGAACCGGGTCTCCTGCATGACAGAAAGCTTAAGAGTGGCATGAAAGTAATTTTTCAGGCTCTTGATACGCTATTCATAGCAGCCAAGTGCAAGATCATTACCCTGAACGCAACAGTTTTCCCGTTGTTTTCAGGCACTTCCAAAAGGAAGTTTTTAGCCAATCAGACCTGACTGGTCTACCTAATGCTTTTGTGGCATTGCATTTAAACTATTTCATTGAGCTTTATGGTTTTGCCAAGCATTCCTTGGGAGTCCCAAAGTGTTTTTTAAGTCTAGTCAAACCACTTCAGGATCCAATAAACCAACTGGACAGCAATCTACAGACAAAACAAACGCCCAAGAAATTAATGTGGAAGTACTCCACATCGTCGAAGTTCAGAGATCTCTTTCAAGCCAAGACGCTTAAGAACATCATCTGTTACGTGTACCTTTATTATTTTCTCTTCCTCCGTAAGAGTTTGTTGAATAACCCTATGTAACGAGATTGTGAGGTAACTAGGATGTATATTCTACTAACAGAAAAAAAAAAAAAACCCACCAATTCAAACACTTGATTAGTGGGACCCACAGTTTTAACAACTTGTGAGCTAGATCCAAGCTTTCTCACCAAAGAGCTTAAAACGACAATCACACACACACTGCTGACTGGAAATTAACCGTCTTTAGGATAAAAAAGCCAACATTCATCTGGATAGGTAAAGGCGAGGACTGATTGGTTCAAACCAAATTAATCAGATTTGGCCGCAAAGTTACACAATAAATTAAGATTTCAACAGCTAACATTTCTCCTTTCAAAAACGCCCTAATGAAATCACCTATAATTTGTCTCGTAAGTTTGCGAAAATATTCGAATAGATTTATAGTGATCAAAAGGTTCTAGCAAGACTGACATTTCTGCGGCTTAGTACTCACGGACCTGCAACCAAGCTTTATATTATGCTTTTTCTAAGCCCGAGAACATTATTTCTACAGTTTATCCAGTCCTCACCAAACTCCACATTTTGTGGTGGAAACTTTAAAAAATGCAAACACAATTCATGGTTCACAAAATAGGTATGGCTCAAAACAAAGGAAACAACGGCGCCAAAAATTGTTGCCCGCCAATTTCTCCTTCACTATCCCGTGGAAAAAAGATCTACTCGATCGGCAAGAAAACCTCAGCGACCTCGTGGTCTACTTGGTTACCGTAACTATTTGCGGTTTAAGAGCGATTTTAGCATCCAAGAAAATCACGCCATTTAGGCCGAACACAAAGCTCGCGCGCAATCCCCTCTAACGGGCCCAGAACTTACGTCAGACTAGTTTGCCATCTCTCAAGAAGCCAAAAACACCTTAGATTCCCATCTTTCCGGGGTCCAAAATATGATCCTGTCTTACCCTAAATGCTGGGCAAAAACCCTGAAGAACACTGTTCTTTGCACCCCACGTTCCCCGACCGCGGCCTGGAAATTGTTGCGCGGCGCCTCCGCCATTTTGTGCCTCTGGCAGTGCGCCCAGCCCGCCAGCCCAAGATGGCTGCGGCGAGGCTTCGCAGGAGAGCAACGGCGAAACGAGATACCGCTCCCCTCCCCCACCACCGAGGGGACGCAGCGGCCATTTTTAATCTTTCCCTCCCGATAACGGAAAAAACCGCCGTTTCGAGTACCGGGCAACCCAAAACCGCCGGCGGCCTCCTTCACGGATAAGGACAATACTACCAGGGTTTCTTAACCTGACTCGCACCCCTCCCGGTCTCAGACTTCGGAGCCAAAATCGCCCCAGTCTCCCGGCCCGAGGCCGATGGGCCTGGAAAGAGATGCAAGAAGCTGGGACCACACAGCCGCCCCCTGCACCACCGATACCTACCCGCTCGCCGTAGTTCTGCTCGCCGCTGTCGCTCATGACTTCCACCGCTGTCACCGCTCGATGTGCTTCAATCGAAGCTGCCAACCTCTCGCGCCTTCAGTGTAGAGGCTCCGCCGCAGCCTCGCACTACACACCGGTTCCCGATGCGTTGAGAGCCGAAACGCTCCGCGCCGCCTCCGCTTGGGCTCTAAGTCTCCCGGACGTGACGCGGCGCTCTTTAACCCGGCCCCACCCCCTCCCAGAGGGCGCGCTTTCTTGGCTCCGCCCCTCGACGTTAGGCCTTCGCTTTCCAGCTGTGGCGCGTCCCGAGCCGGATGTGACGTAAGCCCCACCCCTCGCGCCGCGCTAACCCCATCTCCCAGTCTCTTTGAGGCGGGAAAGTGAGCGCGGTGGGTAGCTTCTGTGGTGGTCGCTGCGGGGGTTAGTGATGTCACCCTCCACACCTGACTCCCTTTTCTAATTTTCCAGGGAAACCGTCGTGGAAGGTGGGGGATGGAGAGAGGAGATACCCACCTTTTTCTCCCATCCTTCTTGCTTCCGCTTTATTCATTTTTTGTGTCTATTTGGTTGCAGAGGGCAGATACTCGTATATAGGGTTCCGTGCATTACTTAGGTTTTTTCTATCGTTAGTTGTGGATCATTCCTACCTGAAATCCATTCATATGAGCCTCTGTCAAGTACCAAATCACGTTACCAGATCCTGATGCACTGAAATCAAGCACGATCCCTAACCCGAGGAAGTTAGTGGTCTAGTAAGGGAGAATTGTTAAACATACATTTGCAAACTGATTTGGTTAAACGTACAACTGTAGTGGTGTCTCGGAGTAAACATTAATTATGCCATCACCCAACAGCATGATAAAGAGCTCAGATTTGGAAGTTCAGACATCTCTCTGTCTGCTGTTTCCTTTAAAAAAAAAAAAAGTGTGTGTGTGTGTACCCAGCCGGTGAGGTACTCTGATACCTATAAAGGGCCATTTGATTTTTTAAAACAGTTTTCTTGAGATATAATTCACATACCATGCAATACTCTTATTTAAAATGTACAATTCAAGTCGTTTTTATATTTACAGAGTTGTGCAACCATCAGAGTTTTAGAACCAGTTCATCACTCCCCAAAAAGAAACCTGTCATTAATAGTCACGTTTCATCTTCTCTCCAGCTTCCCCCCACCAATTCTCCTAGTTCTAAGGAATCTAAAATCTACTTTATCTATAGTTTTTCTGAATATTCTGAATATTTCCTATAAATGGAATCACATATGTAATATGGAGTCTTTTGTGACTGGCTTCTTTAACAAAGTTTTCAAGGTTCATCCATGCTGTAGCATGCATCAGTTATTTCATTCCTTTTTATTGCTGAATAATATTCCATTTTATAAATGTATCACATTTTAATTATCCATTCATCAGTTGGTAGACTTTTGGGTGATTTTCACCTTTTATCTATTATGAATAACGCTAATAGGAACATTCTGATACAAGTTTTTGTATGAACATGTTTTCAGTTCTTTGGGGAATATACCTAGTAATGTAATTGCTGGGTCATGAAGGTAATGCTATTTAACTTTTTAAGGAACTGCCATTTAATTACAGATACCCTAGTGGATGTGAAGTGGTATGCTATTGTGGTTTTGATTTGCATCTATCCCTAAGAATAACGTTGAGCATCTTTTCATGTGTTTATTGGCCATTTGTAGATCTTCTTTGGGAAAATGTCTGTTTAGATAATTTGCCCACTATTACTTTTTCTTATTGAGTTGTAAGAATTGGCAATTTGATTCTTGCTTGATTTAAAATAGTCACCTGGAACAGCATCAGTACTTAAGGTACCTGAGATCCAGAGATTTGGTGATGACTCAAGGTAACAATTGTCCTCTCTTTTTACATGCTCTTCAGAGTCAACTTCATTGCTTTCATAGCTTAAGTCAGGGACCTATATGATTATGGTTTCCAAATCTATATTTACTTCAACACCCCCCCTCCTTCAGTTCCATGTTTAAATTCTAGGTGCTTACTGGAATATTTACCTGGATATTTCAGAGACTTATAAAAATTAGCATAAGCATTTTAATAATATGCCCTAGAAACATCTCTGCTAAAACTTTCTTCTCTCTTTCCCTCATTTAATTAGTTAACACCTCTCATTAATTCTACTTCTCGTATATTTTTTAAATTTATCTTTTTTTTCTCCATTCCTCTTGCCACCATTTGTCAGGGTTTCATCAACTCACTTATCTGATGAAGTGCAAATTACCTTAGACACTTTAGTGGAGTTTTTACCTTTTGTGGAGTTTTTATCTCTTTAAACACTATATTTCAAGTTCTAATAAGACAAAATCGTGTTATAAAAAATTCAAAAATATTACCTTACCCAATCAAAAAATGAGCCAAAGAACTAAACAGACATTTCTCCAAAGACATACAGATGGCTAACAAACACATGAAAAGATGCTCAACATCACTCATTATCAGAGAAATGCAAATCAAAACCACAATGATGTACCATTACACGCCAGTCAGAATAGCTGCTATCCAAAAGTCTACAAGTAATAAATGCTGGAGAGAGTGTGGAGAAAAGGGAACCCTCTTACACTGTTGGGAATGCAAACTAGTACAGCCGTTATGGAGAACAGTGTGGAGATTTCTTAAAAAACTGGAATTAGAACTGCCATATGACCCAGCAATCCCACTTCTGGGCATACACACTGAGGAAACCAGATCTGAAAGAGACACGTGCACCCCAGTGTTCATCGCAGCACTGTTTATAATAGCCAGGACATGGAAGCAACCTAGATGCCCATCAGCAGACGAATGGATAAGGAAGCTGTGGTACATATACACCATGGAATATTACTCAGCCATTAAAAAGAATTCATTTGAATCAGTTCTAATGAGATGGATGAAACTGGAGCCCATCATACAGAGTGAAGTAAGCCAGAAAGATAAAGACCATTACAGTATACTAACGCATATATATGGAATTTAGAAAGATGGTAATGATAACCCTATATGCAAAACAGAAAAAGAGACACAGATGTACAGAACAGAATTTTGGATTCTGTGGGAGAAGGCGAGGGTGGGATGTTTGGAGAGAACAGCATCAAAACATGTATATTATCTAGGGTGAAACAGATCACCAGCCCAGGCTGGATGCATGAGACAAGTGCTCGGGCCTGGTGCACTGGGAAGACCCAGAGGAATCGGGTGGAGAGGGAGGTGGGAGGGGGGACCGGGATGGGGAATACATGTAAATCCATGGCTGGTTCATGTCAATGTATGACAAAAACCACTACAATATTGTAAAGTAGTTAGCCTCCAACTAATAAAAATAAATGGAAAAAAATTACCTTAAAAATATTACCTTATCATTTCAAAGTTAAAATGATACAGTGTGTACCTGAGAAAACAATTCTGGTATACTTTTTCCCAATAATTGTGCTTGGAATTTTGTGATGATCCCTTGTGCTTTTGTGTATTTAATGATTTCTAATCACAGTATCAGGAAAGCTCCTAGTGGCTCAGCAGTAAATAATCCACCAGCAATACAGGAGACTTGAGAGACATGGGCTTGATCCCTGGGTCAGGAAGATCTCCTACAGGAGGAAATGGCAACCCTCTCCAGTATTCTTGCCTGGGAAATTTCATGAACAGAGGAGCTTGGCTGACTACAGTTCATTGGGTTGCAAAGAGTCAGACATAACTGAGCACCACACCAAATCATTGTATCAGCTAGACTGTACTGTTTCTAAACTTTTTTGTATTCTCCCTAGGACGAAGAAATTAATTTCCTCCTTTTTAACACCTGCATATCTACCTGTGTGATGTAATTTAAAAATTAAAGTCAGGAGTAAAATGTTAATAGTAAAATCTATGTAAGTCAACAATATGGGTGTTCACTGTACAGTCCTCTCCACTCTTTGAATGTTTTCATAATAAACTGTTGAGAGAAAAAAAATATAAGTCAAGCCATGGTATCACATGCTTTGAAACCTTCAATGGCTTCTCATAACTTTTAGAACAAGTCTAAAAACCTTAATACAATCTGCAAATGATTTGTTCCTTACCTGCCACTGTTCTCCTTGTTTTCTATGCAGTAGGCACACAGCTTCTCACACTCCATGTATCATCAAAGCTATACCTTTGAATGAACTGTTCCCTCTTCCTGGGGCATTTAACAACTATCTTCTTCCCAACACACATCTAAACCTGGGCTCCAACTCAGATCTCTGGCCTCTGAACTGGCTCAGAATTGTTCTCAGGAGGGGTCTCCCAAGATACTACAGAGATGTGAAAGTGAAGGAAAGAGAATAACTAGACCAACTTCTGGGTTCTAGCTTGGGTGAACAGGTGAAAGGACAATGGTATCATGAACTAAGGGGAAATGAGGGAAGGTGGGGCAGAATGAAGACTTCAATTTAGGACATCTCAGTGAAGGTGTCTAGTGAGTACTGGTTATATAACAGTCTGGGGCTTAGGGAAGATCTGAGTGGAATATACATCCTGAACTAGAATTACCAGTATAGAGATGGTCAGGGAAACCTTTCATTGAATAAACAAGATGCTCAAAGGAGTGATGTCCTCATGTGACAGAAAACAGCAAACCTGAGTCCGTATTGGGTTTATTCTCTTAGTTCTAACTTTTGTGCTCTGTTGCTTGTGCTTTGTCATGCTGGCTCTGTACCTTGATTTAAAAGAATGTTGCCTAGAGCCTGAAATATACATGATAGCCCTTTCTCAAGGCTCTGCCTCCCAGGTTTGACCTTTAAAGCCGTTAACACACTTTTCATTCACATAAAGATAAACAGTTGTAGATCATTCATACAGAGATAAAAAGTTGTAGAACAGGAAATAACATTTGTCCTTTTGGAGGTGTACAGGAACACATGACAGGACCTACATTTACAGCTACGAGATCAAAGCATTGTCACATGCTCTCTGGAGTCTGGTGGGCACCAGGAAGTCTGTGACAACCAGTCACATCCCCTTCCCTTTTAGTATCAGTTCAGTTCAGTTCAGTTGCTCAGTAGTGCCCGA